AATGTTTAAGTATGCATTAACACGTAACGAAGATTTTTAAGTACATCTGTCTACAGCTTGTGGCTGTAAATATTTCCCCTATCAATGGCAGACTGTAAAAAATTGTTCCATTTTTTTGTGTTACAATTAATATAATATAATATAATAAAATATTAATAGATTTCGTTGTTTCAGAAACCTTCCAATTTATTCTAAAATATATTTTTCAAAGGAAATACGAGATTAAGCGTATAAAACAATGTAGACTCTGCGGAGTATAATTTTTCTCATCAAGCCCTTGGAAATAATTTATAATCAACGTCGCACGCAATGTTACAGACGTTGCAACTTTTTTATTATTCCGGCAAAAATTGCACGCGACGAATGATGAAAAGCGATGCGTTCTATGGGTGAGCTGGGTCGTTTCGAAATCTCTGTAAACAAGTACCGAAAGTAGTGGCGTTCCGTGAAACAAACTGTGTGTCGCGTGAAACGTGTCACTAAAAAAAAAGCGGCACATTTCATCCAAACTAGCTACCAGCCTGTCAGATTCGGGTAGCGACGTCAACCTGTGAGTGTACAAAATGCGACCGACCACAGAAAAAGTTCGTAACAATTGGATTACGAGAAACTATTTTTAAAATGCAGATTCAATTAGAATTTTTTTACACGTGCTCGTTACGAGCATAACCGGTTTTATGAATATCGTACTTCAGATACGACGCGAAGTTTTTCAATTCGTAATAAATCGTTGCTTTGAATCTCGTATAACGAGCACAAAGAGGAGGTTTCATATGATTCAAATTCGTGGATTTATTTGCGCCGAGAGTGGCGAGATCGAAAAGGAAGACTCACCGATTCAGAAGAGACAGAGGATTCCTGTTTTCGAGCCAACTGGTACGTGAAAACGGGTTCACAATTTTACACGAACGTAGACGCGAAAGCAATTAACGAACGAATCTGCCGGGCGAGTAACGAACGGCTCTTCGATCGCGAAAATAGGATTCTCCTCACTTCCGGGCCTCCGCTCGTCCCGCAATGATTCGACGATTAAACACGATGCTCTTCGCTTTCCCTCTCGTTCGTAACAATTTAATGTTGCGTGCAGGCTTAAATCATTAACGAGTAGCGTTCTGTTCGCCGTACGTTTACACATGAAACTGTAATCATGTTTTAATCATTGTTGAATTCCCACTCATGAATAATAATTCAATAAGATATAACAACAACAGTCTTGAATCGCGTATAAAGTTCTGCTTTTACAATTTTAAAAGAATTCTATTTTATTCCATGATCAAACGTTTTCTGTTTTGCTTTTCCATAACGTTCAATTAAATTGATGACGAATGAAATTCTGATTGTTCAGCTTCAAAGAAATTCGGTTTTATATTTTATCCTCACAATTGTAATAAATAATATTGGGTCTGTTCGCACAATTCTCAACATTTTTTATTCATAAAAAAAAATGGATCTGCTCAGAAATCTGTAGCCATGAATCTCTGGATTTTCGTACATTGTTCCAGGACAAGAGAACCAGAATTGGCGACGGTAAAAACCGAAGAGAAATCGGAAGATTTAATTTCCATTGTCTGGCTGATGGAGGAATCAGACTGGGCCGTTTGTTGCCGGGAAAGTGGCCCGATAAAAACACGGCTAGGAGACATAATGGGTCGGAATTTGGTGGAAAGAGAGGCCCTCTCGTAAATTAAGCACGGCGCGAGTTCCGCAAGTGGTAATTAACGGACAGGATTTCCGTGAAAGCTACCATGATCATCGAAATCGAAGGGATACGTCGAACAGAGACTGTCGATAATTTGCTCGAATAACGTACGGGTCTGTCTCGTTATCTACTAATTATGCGCTGGAGAATTGCCCTATCCACCGTGCCGACGATTAATTGTTTCGCGTGACCGTTCATTGTTGCAAAGATACCCGGCTGTTACTCCATCAAAGTAGATTAACCGATAATACAAGAGAAAGTCAATATTAATCCTCGATCACTTGCTCTTTGTCACATTCGTAAAACGTAATTGTGGAAAGGAATCAGGAGAAAAATGACCGACACTGCGTTAGTATATTAAAGATATATATTTGATCGGGTCGCGACCAGCTTCTTCCACGTCCAGAGCTGTACTGTTTTAAAATGTTCCCGAAACGCAGCACGTCTCGAGATTTTTAGACGTTGCCGTCGTTATCGGGCTGCCCGTATACCTTACAAAGTTCTTCGCGTTTCCGGCTGGCATTTACCATACTCGTACAATGTCTTACCATCTTATCCTACACTGTACTGGTACGGAACATTGTAGAGCCTACATAATAATTTTAATTATTTTATTAAATGATGATTCCATCGGTTTGTGTGAAAAATAAGGGAAGAGCTTTTTCATGGAATTTAGGGTTACGAACATTTCTGTTCGCAGGCAGGTTTACACGGCCTAACCGGACATATCGAGTTCAACGAGGGTAAACGAAACAACTTCAAACTGGACCTCTTGAAGCTGAAAAAGGAGGAGCTGGTCAAAGTCGGGGAGTGGAAACCGGGAACGGGAGTCAACGTGACCGACGTCGGCGCTTTTTACGAGACCAGCGCGACCAACATTACCCTGGTTGTTATGACCAGAGAGGTAATAGCCGCGACGCTCGCATAAGCACCATAAAAGTAATCTTTACACCGAGGGAAATGTATCTCCTCGAAAGCTTAGCTTCCAATTCGCCCAAGGCTCGAGTGAAATTGGTTCCGCGAAATCATTTACGGTTCCCCTTTAATAACACTAATTGACAAGAAGCTTCTATTTAACTTTCGATTACGCTTTCCTCGTGGAAGAAACTCCGGAAAGAAACTAATTTCGCTCGGTAGCTCCGTCAAAAGGTAGGCGATAGGACGGAGACACGAGGGCCGACCCGCGTCTCCCATTTTCAGAGATGAAAGGCGACGGCAAAGGAGAAGCTCCCATCAGAATCGTTCGCATTAGGACGACACCGGGCTCCTCCGTATGTTTCATAGCATCGATGCCTCTCTCTTATCTAGCGGCGACCAAGAATTTTTTTCTCCCTTCAATAAAAGCAAAGACATTCGTTCCCCCCGTTCTGTCTCTCCCGTCTCTATCGGTCCCGGTGATCCATCAAAGGATTTCTTATCTCCTTCTTCCAGGAGAAACCGTACGTGATGGTAAAGGAAGACAAGAATCTGACGGGGAACGCGAGGTTCGAGGGGTTTTGCATCGATTTGCTCAAGTGGATCGCCGGTCAGGTCGGCTTTCAGTATGCCATAAGATTGGTACCCGATCACATGTACGGCGTTTACGACCCGAAAACCAAGGAGTGGAACGGTATCGTCAGGGAGCTGATGGAGAAGGCAAGGCATTCTCAGAATCGCGTTAACGTCTCCTCCATTCTGCAAAAGGGATGCTGCGAGACAGTACTGTACAGAGCGCTCGATCTAAGTGCACCTCTCCTATGGAAAATTCACAAGCACCTTCCCCAAGCCAATTTCCAAACAAATACATTTTTGTCGTTTCAGAGTAAATCAATCGATCACAAAATACGATCGTGTAAACGAAATGTCACGATTTCTATTCACTAGCTTCTCTCTCTTCAACTCAGTAAGTAGAAATTGTGGCGTGAAAACAGAAATTTAGATATTTATTACAGTTTCACAAAAATTCTTAAACAGAAAACACGAGGTTTATTTAAATCACGGTGTCAAACTTTTTAACTCCAAGTAGTGGCTGATTAAAAAAATGTAAAAGAGAAGGGCGCGCACAATTTTCTATGCAAAACAGCGGCCGATACCGGCGCAATAAATCCATCACGTCTAGAATTTCATTATGCATGCTCTCGGGCCAGAGGTAGCGGCATCTAATTTGGGGCGTTCTCGAACGGGACGGTCACGTATCGGATATTCTGATTCATAGGGATCGACGCGATGGGCAGATGTTACCGCCTGTGACATCTGAATTGTAAAAAAGGTGCAGTTATTAAATCGGAATGATGTGACCGTTTCAAGTAATTTATGACACGATCCAGCGAGAGTTCGACTAAGTATTTTAAGGAATTATTCGTGTTCCAGAAAACTTCCAAAAATCTTCTTATCACCGGTTAACTTATGGAAGATAATATCTGAAATTAATCATGTATAATGTTTTAAGTTTAAGTGTAGATCATCACTATAACATTTCATAATGCCAACTCTTGCTATAAGTAGTATAACTCCGTATTTGGTGAGACGGTCTGATTTATACGCGCAATTCGCAAGGAAACGACTATCACCGAGGAGAGATTACTAAAGAGTGACAGCATTATGGGACTTGGGTAGTTATCAGATGCAAAAAACGTCCGATGCAATTCCTCTTTAACTCCACTCGTTAAGGAATAATTGGCGATGAACGAAATAATTAATCGATTGGTCCTGAAGTATTCGAGAGAAAAGAAAATTGTATACGATCTTTTTTGCAGATAATAACAGTATCTACAACTTTTATTTAAAGCATTTTTCGAAAAAAAATTTTCAATTTTTTCGAGATTTTCCAAGAAGTACACCTTCAGATTTTGCGAAATTTTCGTTTTTCGCCAATAACTTCTAAACCGTTGGAGATACGAGAAAATTGCATAAGACCTTTTTTGTAGAGGACGACGAGAGCTACAATTTCCATGTAAAAAGTTTTCGCTATCGTCAATAGTTTACGAGTAATTTGCAAAAAACTGTTTTTTCGTTTTTCGTCAATAACTCGTAAACTATTAATGCTAGCGAAGAATTGTTATACAGAAATTATAGATCTCGTCGTCCTCTACAAGAATGGTCGTATGCAATTTTCTCGTAGATTTAACGGTTTAGGAGTTATTGAGGAAAAACGAAATTTTTTTCCAAAAGTTCGCCGTTTTGACGCTGGAATGGTCGGATTTGGTCAACATCAATAAAATACCAAATAATCATACTTAACT